CACCTACCACCACCCCCCCCACTCCCTATAGCCACCGCTCAACAAAACTGAGCACCGCCCACACTCATCCACCTAAGTCCACACCCATCAACCTGCCACACCTACCATCCCCACCCCCCGCCTTTAGCGGCTTTTGGCTCGGGCATCGAACAAAGACGGTGGTCACCGCGTTGTTGCGCGGCGCTTTGCCGTCTCGAACGCTCTTCCGTCCGATATTAGGAAGCCAACGGGGCTGTGCACTTTTAAATCACCTAGAATTTTTTTTAAAAAAACTCATTACTTTACGAAAGAAGTTCAACATGCATTCATGCATAGCCATCACTGTCCATTCATTACTGCCCACTCACCACCGCCCAACAACACTCACCACCGCCCACACTCCCCACCAAAGTCCACACCCTTCCACGCCCACGCTTACCACCCCCAGAGCCATCACTGCCTACTCACCACCGCTCAAAACTCATCTCCGATGCACATACTCCCCCCCCCACCACCACCACCGCTCACAGAGAGGAACTGCCCTATGCAAAGAGCGTGTGGGAGTGTGTTGGTGGTGGTGGTGATGGAGCGGTGTCACCGAAGGCAGGGTTCATCTCATTAAATTTTGAAACCGTTTTGCTTCGCTTTAATATATATTTATTTTTCTTTAAAATATATATTTCTATGTCTTTCAGCTGCATTCTGGCGGTACTATCGGTGCCGTGCAGTCCCAATCTCAGGGGTGGGGAAACCTCACGGGCCACACACAGGCCAAAGACTTAATTTCATTCACGAGGCTTTCATGTTAACGCGACTGCCCCGCGGAAGCGGATAGCGCAAAACTACTTCTGGAGGTCTATTTAAGTGACCTCCGTTCCACGCGGCGGCAGCGGCAAAACTTTCTTTCTCTGCATGCCGGTCAAAACTAATGCAAAATAACCCTCCCGTTGTACGACTGTGGTCATCCAGATTCAAAAACACGAAGCAGGAGGGAGAGCGGCGTTGCGCTCCGCTACTCCTGACGCATCATAAGGGGCTGAACTTCCTCAGTGTAAACCATTTAGTCAAAACTGACACGCTAAAGTTATCAGAGTTGCAATGCAACCAAATGCAGTGCAGTACATTGGCGACTGGGCTGAAACCATCAACTCACGACACTTGAGAACCCAGTTTAATCACTGTGGACGAGCGGCTAAACCCCCATATTTGAACACAATATATCAAAAGTGCCGGCTATGCATCTATGTGAGTGTGTTGAACTTCTTTCGCGCACAGCACGTAGCCAACCGTGCTAATCGGAGGTGCGGGGAGAAGGACAGCAAAGCAATCACTCACCTACTCACCCATTCAACCAACTATTCACTGACTCAGCCACTCACCCAGTGTATGTACGTTGAACTTCTTTCGCACCGTACGTAGACAACCGTGCTAATCGGAGGTGCTATGTCTCATATTTACATAGCCATTATGAACTATCCTCCACCTTCCCTGAAGCACCTGGCCACCTGAAATTCCAGTCGGCACCACTTCCAGCCGCTATCAGGAATCGTATCTCACATTTGTCTGTTAAGAGTCATTGATGACTATATAAACATCATCATAATCATGATACAGTACTCATTACTGCTAGCATCAGCATCCGCTCCATGACCACAAATCCAAACTTTAATTACGAGCACGGCCGTCGATTACTTCCACAGCTCTCACCATTCCTTCCTTCTATCTGCCAGATCCCTCATCTGTTGCAATTCAAAACCCAACCTCCAAAGTACGCTCTTTTGCCGTATCATCATTATCACCACCTATATCAGAATAATCACCACCCCGCTATCAGGATCAACATTACTCGTACCATTATCATAATGACCTTTCACCATCATTATCAACGACAGAGATCTCCCATATAGCGTTTAACAGACTGCTGGGGCAAGTGCTATTAGTGAGCACCTACGAAGGCCGGCATAGCATACGATGGGATGAGTGGCCAGCATCATGCCCGGCCGCCTTTGTATCCCTATTTCCGATGTTTTCCCACATCGCACCAGGTACTCATTTGAGGCCGAGTCGACCTATGGGAGGGCTAGGACAGGGACCGGTTCAGATAATCGTCACAGGTGTTGGCCGTGAGCCGAAATTGAACTCGGGTCGCCGGATTAATAGGGCAGCGCGCTAACCGCTGCACCACCGCTCCCCACCATTATCATGGTGGTGGTGGCGATAATTATAATTACCATCATCGCCACCATCGCCACCACCATCTTAGCTTCACAAGATTCCACTTGTTGCAGAGTCGACGCGTCTTCCACGAACTTCAAAGTGTGCTGTCCGACAATTCGCTCCAGTTCGGTCACGCGCAATTCACGAACCGAATGAATCGGTGCTTGTGCGTGGGTGTTAATGTCCAGTCGCCGCATGCCCAGGCAGCTTTTGTTTGGCCACATAGAGGGGGCTAAACTGGCACGGCACGGGCTGGAGAAGAGATGGAGTAATGCGGTATGGGGGAGGATGTGGAGCTGAGTGGACTTGCCGAAGAGCGGTACCAGCGGTGTCAAGTTCGGCCTCTGTGGAGGAGGCTCGTGAAGGACGCCGCTGCTACTGGGCAGTTGGAGGCAGTCGCCCTCAAACAACAACGAAGGGCAGAGGAGCGACGCTCACAACAACGAGTGGAGCGCTGTGCCGCTAAAATGCAGAAAGTTTGCACATTCGGGGGCACAAGCTGGTGCATCTACCAGTCATCTCAGCCAGCCAACCCATGGCACCTGCTGGTCTGTCCCGTGACCTCCTGTCAGCAAGCCTTCGACACTTCACATGGCCTCAACGTGCACTTAGCCTGGCACAAGCACCGTGGTGACATCACCACCACTTAGTGGCGAATGGCAGTTGTTGTTGTGTCAATGTTACCAGTAGGTGGGGTGAAACTTCGAAATGTCATGTCGAATAAACCCGAAAAAAACATTGCCTCACAATAATAAGTATCAGAACTATAAAAGTGTAAAACAAGATAGTGAGTGAATATTTTGAAGTGAATCAGAATATTTATTTAGACTTTTTCACATATTCCCAGTTTACAGATATCCCGGCTGAGAGTGGCTTAGTGAGATAAGTGACTGAGTTGAGGGTAAATAAATAATATTTAAACATTTTTTAAAAAAACACGCTTTATTGAAATGTACCGGACTAGTAATGGAAGAACTCCACGACTCCAGGAAGTGGCCCCGAAGCTTGCAATTACAGCCAACGTCAGTTGAGCATGGACAATTAGACCCAAGCCAAAACATAACATGTAAAAAATCATGTTTAAAACTAGTTCTTTTTATTTTTAACCATAGAATATAGTATTGTCATCAGTATGACATAAGTATACCACGTTTGCAGTCGATACCACATTGGGAAGTGGGTAAAATTTTAGTTACAAGATTTGAGGATACAACAGTGAGTTAATAAAAAGCTAAATGAACGCGTTGAGAGTGAGTTATCGAGTGGGTCGGTGTGTGTGACGATTATCTGAACCAGTCCTGGGGCTCCCCTAGGTCGACTCTGCCTCAAATGAGTACCTGGTGATGTGTGTAGTAAACATCGCCACTGGGGGAGACAAAGGCGGCCGGGAGTGGTGTTGGCTACCCACCCCCGTGTGCCCTACCGCCCTTCATAGCACTTGCCCCTACAGTCTGTTGTAGGCTATAAGGGGGATCTTTGTATTTGTTGGTGAGCCGGTGGGTGGATGAGAGGGTGGGCGAGTGGTTGTATTAATTAGTGGGCGATTGAATGTGAAGTAACTGGTTGGATAAATTAATGGATGGCTGAGTGGGTGAATGAGTGGCTAGGGGGGGCGAGTGGCTAGGGGGGGCGAGTGGCTAGGGGGGGCGAGTGGCTAGGGGGGGCGAGTGGCTAGGGGGGGCGAGTGGTTAGGGGGGGCGAGTGGCTAGGGGGGGCGAGTGGCTAGAGGGGGCGAGTGGCTAGGGGGGGCGAGTGGCTAGGGGGGCGAGTGGGCGAATGACAATTGGATGGGCGAATGAATGAGTGGGTGAATGAGAGAATGAATGCATTAATTAGTGGGCGAGTGAATGAATGATAAGTAATTGGGGTGGGTGAATTAATGGGTGGCTGAGTGGGTGGGGGTGAGAAGGTGAATGACAATATGAGTGGGTGAGCGAATGAATGAGTGAATGAATGTGTGAGTGAATGAATGAACGAGTAAAAAAACTTTCGCGCTATTAATGGCCCTTGCTCACACGCCACGGCGTGTAAATGTGGATTGTCCACCAATCGGCTCGGGTTCGCTTAAAATTCTACTTTCTTTAAAAGAGCATGGTCTGAGGTGAAACTCAAAATGTTTTTCTTTATAAAACTCGGTGGGTGGCAAGCACTTGTTCACCATACCACGGGACTCGATTCCCCCCCGTGCAACTCTATATTTAATAAAAAAACGATTCCTGGCACGCATTTGCCCCACCAAATGCTCGATTCCGTTTATCCCGGAATAAAATATCAATTCTCGAACAATTCGATTCTCCCACCGCGAGGTAAAATTCGCGAGGTAAAAATCCGTGAGGTAAAATTCCAAACCGTCGAATTTCCGCCCGATACATTTGTCAAAACGCCTCTGACGAATTCCGATATCGATTCTCGTTATGTTGCGCGCGTTGTGTGTTTTAAAAAAAAATAATTATCAACCGAATTCGTTCACTGCCGTTCCCCCCCCCCTCCCCGTTCACACGCAAATCAACGGCAAGAGTCCCAAGCCCCCGATCGATCGTTGTAATTCGAATACACCGATCGATTACAACAGGCGATCTTAGCCCTCATTTTCCCTTTCATCCGTTCAAATGGTCGACTCCAACCAAACCATCGGCCACCGCCACCGACAAAATCGCGCCCTCGTCGACGAATCTCAACACCGGTCGCCTCAGAAGAAGAAGAAAAAACCCCCACACACAATTTTTTTGTTTTGGCGGGCAAACGATGAGGTGGTGGGTGGGGGGTGGTGGTGGGGTGGTGTGGGAAAGAGCACGCAGCTTTACCTTGCCGAAGTAGGCGGCCCAGTGAAGCGGTGCCCAGCCGTAGAGTCTGTCTTCGGCGAGCGGGTCGTGTCTCGCCGAACGCAGCAACTGCGCGAGGCGGACGGCGTCTCCGTCCCTGCACGCTCCGTGCAGCGCTTCCTCGCAGCCGGCCCAGCCCCAGCATTCGTCCTGCGACATTGTCGGTCGCGTGCGTGGCGTCGTTTAAACTTGGGTCGCCAAAATGACGGATCGGCGAGGGAACTCGGACTCGATTAATTTAAATTTGTTTTGTTCTCTCCTGCGTTGTTGTGAGGCGAGGTGGGTGAGGTGGGTGGTGGTGGGGGGGGGAGAGAGAGATGAGGCGAGGGGGGTGGGAAAAAAAACGCGCGCGATCTCCTCCTCAGTTGCCTCGCGCACGAGAACCCGCCACAGCCCCGCCCCCCCCTGCTTAGCCCCACCCCCCTCTACTTAGCCCCTCCACCCCACACCGAGCTAAACTCCGCCCCCACCAACCGCCAAACGCGATGACGTGCCGGCACATCGACTTACGCGTGATGTCATCGCGCTAAAGCCGATTGCCGCGCGCGCCAACGTGACGTGGTGACGTCACCGCGTTCGAGCCTCGGCCACTCGTCGCGAGCGGCCCACCCCGTACCCATCGGCCAACGAACGCGATGACGTCACGTAGAAGGGAAACAATAAAATAATAAAAATATAAAACAATACATTTTTTTATTGTTTCCCTTCTACGTGACTTTACCGAAAGAACCAAGACTATGAATCCCTGCAGTCACAAAAGTTTTAAATCAAAAATTGAACGCGATGACGTTCGAATACGTCATTACGTTCAAATAAATGCCCGCTCGAGAACCCTCGTGCGTGACGACGTCACGCGCCCTCCGCCTTTCTTCCCCACTCCGGTGTTCAGCCTTTGGCGTGCGCGGTGACGTCATCACGCTCGAGCGAAGCGATTCTCCTGACCTAAAGCGTGCGCGGTGATGTCATCATGCTCGAGCGAAGGGACTCTCCTGACTCAAAGCGTGCGCGGTGATGTCACCACGCTAGAGCGAAGCGACTCTCCTGACCCAAAACGTGCGCGGTGACGTCATCACGCTAGAGCGAAGCGACTGTCCTGACCCAATGCGTGCGCGGTGACGTCATCACGCTCGAGCGAAGCGACTCTCCTGACCCAAAGCGTGCGCGGAGACGTCATCACGCTCGAGCGAAGCGACTCTCCTGACCCAAAGCGTGCGCGGTGACGTCATCACGCTCGAGCGAAGCGACTCTCCTGACCCAAAGCGTGCGCGGTGATGTCACCACGCTAGAGCCAAGCGACTCTCCAGACCCAATGCGTGCGCGGTGATGTCATCACGCTAGAGCGAAGCGACTCTCCTGACCCAAAGCGTGCGCGGTGACGTCATCACGCTCGAGCGAAGCGACTGTCCTGACCCAATGCGTGCGCGGTGACGTCTTCACGCTCGAGCGAAGCGACTCTCCTGACCCAAAGCGTGCGCGGAGACGTCATCACGCTCGAGCGAAGCGACTCTTCTGATCCAAAGCGTGCGCGGTGACGTCATCACGCTCGAGCGAACCGACTCTCCTGACCCAAAGCGTGCGCGGTGATGTCACCACGCTAGAGCCAAGCGACTCTCCTGACCCAAAACGTGCGCGGTGACGTCATCACGCTAGAGCGAAGTCAGTCTCCTGACCCAATGCGTGCGCGGTGATGTCATCACGCTAGAGCGAAGCGACTCTCCTGACCCAAAACGTGCGCGGTGACGTCATCACGCTCGAGCGAAGCGACTGTCCTGACTCAATGCGTGCGCGGTGACGTCATCACGCTCGAGCGAAGCGACTCTCCTGACCCAAAGCGTGCGCGGTGATGTCACCACGCTCGAGCGAAGCGACTCTCCTGTCCCAAAACGTGCGCGGTGACGTCATCACGCTAGAGCGAAGTCAGTCTCCTGACCCAATGCGTGCGCGGTGATGTCATCACGCTAGAGCGAAGCGATTCTCCTGACCCAAAACGTGCGCGGTGACGTCATCACGCTCGAGCGAAGCGACTCCTGACCCAAAGCGTGCGCGGTGACGTCATCACGCTCGAGCGAAGCGACTCTCCTGACCCAAAACGTGCACGGTGATGTCATCACGCTAAAGCTCAGCGACTCCTCTGGTTCAAAACGTGCGTGGTGACATCATCACGCTCGAGATTATCGAACGAGTGCGCTGACCAAAAGCGTGCGTAGTGACGTCATCACGTTCGAGCTTAGCTTCCCAGACCCAAAGCGTGCGCGGTGACGTCATCGCGTATGTTGTTCCCCGCCCCCATCTAGCGTATGATTGGTGTGTGAGAATCAGAACTGACCAATAGTACGAAAGAATTGCAAATAGGCTCCACCCACAGTACCAGAATCCCCCCACCCATCCCTCCTCGTTCCCCAAAACACGCCTCCCCCATCCCCCACACACCCCTTCCACCACATACCCCTCCCCCTTCCCCCACACACCCCTCCCCCTTCCCCCACACACCCCTCCCCCTTCCCCCACACTCCCCTCCCCCTTCCCCCACATACCCCTCCCCCTTCTCCCACACACCCCTCCCCCTTCCCCCACACACCCCCGCCCCTCTCCCCACACACCCCGCCCCTGGCGACTGAGGAATGTGAGCACGCGAGACGGAAGACTCGGAGTGGATTCTCCCCCCTGACGCCGGCTCGCGGAATGGATCTTGCTGCAAAGGGAAACCAGGACCGGATTTTCTCACGCCAAAAAAATATATATCAGCGAATAAACAACGCCTCCACATTCAGTTTCATTGATTAGGTATAACCCTGTGAGCCATGCGGCTCTTGACTCGGGTGCAAGCGCAACAAAACAAAAACATGAACAAAGAAACATCTTAAAGTGGCTACGCGCAATCCGTACACATAAATATATACATATACACACACAAATGTAATCACATCAGTTACTCGGCCTTCTGGGAGTACACCTTGCAATCCAAGCAAACGGCCGGAACACACTGGTTTCGACTATCAGCGTGGCATCAGCAGAGCCAAGCTTTGTGCGAGCCAATATCGATTAACTCCACCAGATGCTAAAGACAGGGGCGTTGGGGGGGGGGCTCCTGTGGAGTCGATTTCAGTTTCAGTTTGATTTATTTTGGTATGGCCCTGTGAGCCATTCGGGCTCTTCAATCGGGTGCAACCACAACAAACAAAAAAAACTAAAACAGGAACAAGAAAAAAAACATCTTAAAGTTGACTTTGTGTGACTGGGCGCTTCTCGATTGAAAGTGCTAGAGAGTGGGTTTAACCGCGACACCGTGGTAGGCATGTCTGTACTTGCGGCAAAACCGGTTACCCGCGTTAACCGGTTTCTACATCTGTTCGGATTGGGATCGCGTTGTGACTGTATTTCGTACGCGTGTTGTTACTATTCGGAAATTGAATTTTCCGGCGTGGATTTCCTCTCCATCGACTATTTGGATCGGGATCGCAACCCGGAGTAGATTTGTTTTCCCGTGTGGATTCTGGATTCCGGTGTAAATTCCACTTGTAGGCGTGCGCGTGGTTCGCCCGAGTTAAGCGCAGAGAGTTTCATTGTCCTCCAACACTGGCACGGCCACTAATTGGATACTAATGAATAATTAACGCTCCCATCCACCCACCCACGTCCTATGATGCAATATATACAGTGGCATTTATAAGAAAAGCATGGTCCACTGGACTTCCGTGGCCAGCGAGTCGGCAAACCAAACTAAAAAATAGCCATACTAAATTTCGATTTAAAGCTTTCGTGACTGCAATGATTCATCTTCTTTGGTTCTTTCGGTAAAGTCACGTAGAATGAGAATAAAATAATAAATTGATAAAATAAAATAACACAATAATATTCTCACGACGTTTCGGCCACAACACAAGCGGCCTTCATCAGGTGAAGGGGGCGAGACTGTCTGGTAGGACAGCGCTGGAGTGAGAGAGCCACGTTCAGATCACGGCTTTTAAGCTGTGTGAGAGGAACAAAGAGCCTTGACAAAGGAATTAGCATAAAATTTAGCATTGAAATGGCTGAATGATTAGCTTGTGACTGGTCACAGAAATAGCTATGTTAAAAGTTAAAGCATACACATCCGCAGAGGCACCCATTGTTAAAAGGAATTAGCATAGAATTTAGCATTGAAATAGCTAAGTTAAGGCATACACATCCGCAGAGGCACCCCTTGACAATGGGATTAGCATAGAATTTAGCATTGAAATGGCTGAGTGATTCGCTTGTAACTGCTACAGAAATAGTTACGTTGAAGTCAGAGCATACACATTCACCGAGGCACTTAGTACAAATCAAACAGGAGAATTTAGCATTGAAATAACTAGGCGAATTTAGCATTGAAATAACTGGGTGATTTGCTAGTGACTGGTCACAGAAATGACTACACATCTGAGCTATTCACAGTACTATATAGTGAACCAATAAAAACTAAAATATAAATTACCTTCATGTTATCAATAAACTCTATATTCTCCAATCAGCTAAGCTACCAACCATAAGTCGTTATATATCACAATGCTATATGGCGAAAAAATGGGTGGATTCTTACCCTCAAATTTCCGTACCACGGATAGCTACGGGCCCCGTTCAGACGGACGAGTTCGTCCATGGTCGGAACAGAGGAGGGGGAGAGAGACAGCTGAGAAGCCCTAGTATACTCCATGTTGTAAACCATACCATTAACCGTGGTGTGAGAGGTATTAAGAGGCAATGCTGGCGAAAGAGCTGCGGTCTGAAGGTCATCGTAAAATTACAATTAATTAAGAACAGAAATGATTTAACACATCTTTCCAGTGGTTACTAAGCCTGAATCCATCTTCTCGGTTGAAATTGTCTCTGTGCTTGTATATGTGAATGGCCTCATGAACGAATCTCTCATGGTAGCCAGTTGGTTTGCAAAGAACCTCCGTCTTGGAGAAGTCAATGTCATGTGAGCCCACTGAATTGTAACAGTGATCTGCCACGGCAGAGGAGTTCGTCTTACCGTGTTTCAAGTCTGCTTTATGTTCGCGGATGCGGTCCGAGATATGTCTTTTGGTTTCTCCAATGTAGCTACTACCACAGAGGCACTTTAGTTTGTAAACGCCCGGGTACTGTATGTCTGGAAGAGCATCTTTTACAGATGGAACTAAATCACGGATTTTGTGTACTGTGTTGAATCGGACCTGGATCTTGTGTTTATTCAGGATTTTGGAGATCTTTTTAGTGACCCCTGCAATGTAGGGTAAGGTGATGGTTTTGAGTGGCTCCACAAGAGGATCCTTCTTCATGACTGGAGTGATGGCTTTGCGGATTGTGTAGTCGGAGTAGCCATTAGCCCTGAGAGCCTGGTGTACGTGCTTGAGTTCACTGGTAATGTGTTCCTGGTCGGAAATGCATTGGGCTCT